AATTCGTGGGTGTCGCGATAAGAGCTATGAGAGTGACCATGTTTCAAAGGTATCACACGCCTGATTGACAGAATGTGCTCTACCAACAACTCATTTACACTTCTGCCTTGCAGAGTCTACAGTGTATGTCTACTTCAGAGTGCTCCGCCTCACTCTCAACTTTGTGGCTCAAGAAACTGCCATGAGCCAACAGCTTACGACTTAGCTGTAAGCGTCTGATTCAAGAGTCCGAGCCATTCTCGCTGCACAGATCTACGACTGAGCCCTATCTGTGAAAAGAGAGTGTCAGTGCGTGTGCTTGCAAGGGGTCGTTAGTGAAGTATCAACTTCTACCTCAACAATTGGCACCCACAATCAATATGCATAAGCTCGGTGAGGTGAGCTACCAAGACAATATCAGCAACAAGCCCTCACGCAGGTCATCAGCCGTAGGCTTCGCTTACGAGAGATTAGTCGCTGATCAACATCACCCAAGGTGACATCTGGATCAAGTGCAGATACGACTATGACGTTTGGGGGCGGTGAGATCGCGTTACCGGCAGCTGGAGAGTCCATTGCCGATGACCCAGTGGCGGTGTCCGTTGACAGTATCACCACGGAAGAGGAGAAGGCAAAGCCTTCAGCCTCCTCGCCGAAAAACCCCACAAGAAAGGCGAGATCTTCGCCGAGGATGACTACACCGTCTCGTCCATCTTCGGCAAACCCAAGAACGAGAGTAACCGAGAGACGGCCGTCCAAAACGGCGATTCAATGTTTGCAATCGACCCTGAAAGTGAGAGATCGTGAACCAAGGAGTCCGGAACAGAGAACGACAAGATCCTCAAGAAGCTCTTCGAACAGATCTTTGCGATCTGAATCTGCTCAGGGCAGAGAAGGATGCTCCCCTTCGCCGTTGGCGAGGGTGCAATCTTCGCTTGATGCGGGTTTGCGGAGCCGTTCGTTGAGCCCGAACGTAAATTCAGATGACGCAATGCTTCAACTGGACGACGTACCTTCAGGTCTTCCGATCGAGGACATCTCCCGGAGCAGCTATCCCATGTACGATCCTACCGTGCAACAGATGATCATTGCACAGTCCGAGATGCAAAGGTTTCATGAGACGGAAATCCGCCGTCACCAGGCAAATGTGCGGGCGCTGATGCAGAAGATCTCGGAGATGACCCAGGAGGACCAAGGCTCTACCATGAGAATTGAGGAGTTGGAACGCCAACGCAGCATGCTGCGGTCAGCTATGGCGCATATGAATCAAGTGCATCAAGAATCAAAGACAGAGCACGAAGTCGCGCTGATGCGGATTGAAGAGGTGAGCCAGAGTCAGCACCATGAGCTTGCAGAGTCGTTGTCGAACCAATTCAGAGGATGGAGCCCTTGCGCAGGCTCATCTCGGCGGCTGAGCTGCTGATAGACGCGGTAGATCTGCTGGAGGACCAGCAGCCGGTTCGATTCACTGGGTCAGTGATGGAGTCCTCAGCTAGTTCGTGAAAGCCCTGCGCCAAAAGGGACAGGAAAATCCAAGGGCAAGCCCAAAGGAGAGAAGGGCAAAGGCGACAAAGGTCGGTTCGACAAAGGAACAGGCAAGGAAAAAACAGTGAAAGGCGATCGAGCATGTAGTCCCCCAGTTCGGCGCGACGATCAACGGCGTCGAAGGTAGAGCGTAACCGATCGAAATAGTCATACGTATGGTGTCTTTTCTGGTGGATCCGGTTGAGCCTCCGCGAGCATTGTTGATTCGACCTAGAGTTAATGTTCGTGCCGACTCTGATGGTGAAGCGGCGATTAGATACCATTTCCACCGCTTTCCTCAGCAATGCCTTGTCCTTGCCGAAGCTGAGAAGACCCACAGGGGTGCAATGGCTGGCCATGGTATTTTCCTCGTGTGTCTATCTCTCTTCACTGACATTCCATGCTGCCGAGCTGCTGCTCTGAGCGTTCAATCAAAAGCACAAACCCCGAGCATGGATTACACAGATCTGTCCGGTGCATCCCGACATGGTGCATCGCTACAGTTCTGGAATTGCATAGGCTGCGAATGTACAGTGTGAAACATATGCCTGATCAAGCACCAAGAATCGACCCATCTCCAAAGGTCTCTGTGCTTGAATATCTGAAATCTTCCGGAAGAGGCATGGCTCGACGTACGATCTGACCCTTTTTTTAATTCCGCATCTCTCAAGCGTGAGCTCGCGTCGACGGGGTTGTGATTTGTCACCGAGTAGTGTGCACGTAAATTTTGGCTGCTTGTTACGTCTCATGCCAACTTTGTCTCATTCGCAGCTTGACTGCTCAAAACGTGTCCAGCAAAAGGCCGCTAGTGCGTAGGATCGCTCTAGCTTTATTTCTTAGCTGTGCAGTTAACCTTACGGTGCTATATTCCAACGGGACCTCAAGCTTTGCCCTGCTTCTGCAGTTGCCTTGCCTGCTGGGTATACGATTGGTTGCGCCTTGTTTTGTAGAGTTAAGTAGATTCTTCTGCTTTTCACATAATGAAATGCATGCATACACATATATTATATATGTACATATTGTTGGTTCAGTTGAATGATTTGTGCAGGCTTGGTGAGCTAGAATCAGTCTTGCATGCACTTGAGATTGATCACATGAACCATGTTGCGTGCCCGCAGTGCACCCAGGAACAAAAAACTAAGACGACAACTGAGCCGCACCGAGGAACAACAAAAGAAGCACAGCCAAAACAGAGTCAAGCCAAGCAGCACCAAACCGAGCCGCACCCAACAAAACAGGAGACCAGATGCGTTAAAACACCGAAACATAGCCCAACACCAGACAAACTGAGCCAAGCCAAACCAAAGCCGAGCCATGCATGAGAAACAAAGCTCGTCGCTCCGCCCAAGAGCAGAGCTTGAGGTTGAAGCTTGCATTGCTCCTTGTACGGTAGCAACGAGCCAGCCGAGCAAACCCACCAAGAGTAAGCCTTCCAGTAGACGGATATAAGTGACGGTAGCTTGTAGCACTTTTTCAAAGTCGCATTGTGCACAGCAGGACGAGCTGGGCAAGGAAAAAGATGCATGCCAGTCTAGCGCAGCACTCAGTTGCAAATATCGCATGGGTCGAGTGGTCTTGTGCGGCAACCGGGTTTGGATGTGTCGGTGACGATGGTAGTTAGCATGGTGTTGCAAGACAGTATCCCGCGTTTGCACTGTGCAAAAAGTCTGAAACTTCACGACACGCTTTCGTTTTGCTGAGACGGTGACGCAGCATATGGTTCGGCTGAACAGCACATGTGCGAGTGAAGAGTGTGGTCTGACGCATGGAGCTCAGGATCCGCAAGCGCCTTCGTAGATGTCCTGCAGGCTCATCGAGAAGTTGGATCTACCGCCGTACAACTTTTGGGAAATGCTGTGCCGTTGCATGAAGGGGAGTGGCATCAGCACCGACACCCTCTCTCTGGACATGACGAATGCCTTTGCCGGCGGCGAGGCACCGTCGGGCAGATTGAATTGCGCCACATGACTCTTTTATTTTCATGTCGTCGTGGTGTCTTCTATTTTGTTATTACATGCGCGCTTGCATTAACAACACCTTTAATGTAGCTTTCTGGCCAACAGCATGCAACACGCATTTTCGGTCAACGACACAAATCTGAGCAGCACCGGAGAAAAGGTTCGTCTCTCTTTTAAAGGTTCGTCTCGTTTTCATGCCTGCATGCTGTTAATGAAGCTACATGAATAAATAGAGAACGGAGCAAGTGCTCGAAACGGAGCCAGTGCTCGAAACGTTCGTGCTCATCCAGCAGCAAAGCTTTCGGCCAGGGGCATCGCCGTTTCTTGACACCTCGCTGCTACGACTATACACACGAAGCTCCCAACACCAAGTTCTTGAGCAAAGTGCCCCTTGTTTCGCCCAACACTGCCAGCCAGCATATGCAGCCAGTCATACAGTCGCGATATCTTTCGGCAATCGCAGGATGCTGTCGAATCTCTTTTCGTGCTCGTGCGAACACACATGGCGGTGTCGACTTGGGTGCCGGGAAGGTAGGGTTTGCGTATGGCCAACTGCAGACGGAAAGCACAGGTGTTGGAAATCCTGGTGACGGCCATAACCATGGACGGTGCCTACATAGAAGGCCGTGATGCGATTTCGGCTTTCCATGCTCGTGCTCTGTAGTCCTTGCGTCAACACGAAAGGTGCCGGCTTCTGGACAGCGCTAGGAGAGAACACGGCAACGCACCTCGTTCTCCAGCTTGATCGGGTTCGGCAGCACGGCCCGACTTTAAAAGCACACCGTGACACCTTCCCGTCTTTTTTGTCCGGGCCTTCACGAGCTGAGGTCGGTGATCGATGTCTACCAGCCTCCAACGAGCTTCCGCACCAGTGACCGCCAGAGTCAGGACACTAGCTGCAGCTCTCTGGGGGATGACGTGGATAAGAGCTGCTGTAGCGTCTGCATGCGTCTGCTTCATACTGCCTGCAGGGCGTGTAATTTTTCATTCGAAGGAGGAGGTTGTCCTTGGAGTCGGAGATGGATGGCTGGATGTGCTCGCTTTGCAGCTCAGTCCAACAAGTGCGCCTTCGCCCAGTGGGGTCGTGTCTCTGGTGTCCGATGTCTCTGGTGTTTGAGGCAGCCTTGTGCTCCTCCGATGAGCCACAAGGTCAAGCGGACTGAGACTGACCACGCTTGCATGCGGTGGTTTGTTTTCAGCATCTTTCAGCCTTTCAGCACATGCCGTTTTCCATTTGCAGGTGATCGTCGATGCCGCGCAAATGGTCATTGCCTCAGTTGTGCAATCTGGAACTGACACGGCTTGACACAGCCACGCACATTTCTGATCCGAGCACCAGGTATCTGCCGTTTCAACCCCCAGTCCTTTTTCAAGTCCGCTGTTCTGACAAGTGAGGTGGCACGGATGTTTTACACGTATTCGCTGGAGAGTGTGACGAGCTACCGTATTGTCACGGCAGAGGCCAGGGCCTGGGGTTGCTGGTGCGAAATGCTGGGTGCTTGATTCATGGACCTGAAGGCTTATCCTCAGAACTTCGACGTGAGCGTGGAATATCTGAGCTCTCCCGCCCCGGTGATTCTGGGGTTCTCAGTGGCCGCTGGGATGCTTTGGCCTGGAATCGTCCCAACTCTGTGCCCAGCTTTGGGCAATGGGTTCTCTCGACCAAAAATGCATCCCCTACTGTGCTTCCAGTGTAGGTCATGTTGCCAACAACTCCGATGAAGCCTCGAGTTGCTGATGACCGGTTGCTGTACTTCACAACAGACGCTCGGAACAGGGTGCCAGGGGATCCTGTTTTGGCACAGCCCTTGTCATCCAAGCACCAAGGATTTCGTGGACGTGGGCTATCACCAAGCGGATATGCACACGCTGCCAAGTGAGGACAGGGTGTGGACGTATCGTTTTGAAGACCTGAACCTGACTTTGACCGAATCTGACTGTGCCTCGTCGCTGTCCCAGGCAGTGGACCGGCAGATCTCGTTGATGTGGCGCTGGGATCTCGGGAAGCTGCCCAACCGGACCATCAGGCTCGTCCTTCATGGGATTATCGTTTATGCTTGCGGCCAAGCTGTCGTGGCTCACTGGATGCATAAGGGGAATCTTTGACAAAGCTGCTCGTCTCTGCGTTGCAGGATACACGTCGACCCGACAGTACCGCTCCGCTGGCAAGCCTGGGTCAAAGAAGGTGTTGAGGCATCGTTCGGGCGTTTCCGTGTAAGTTTCGGCCCGGTTTAGTAGGCCGCTTATTGAGCAAGTAGGTGTCTTTCCCGACTGATTTAGTGACGCGTCCCTGCTTCGCGACACAGCGGTGAGCCCGCACGGTGGAGGCCTGGAATTCGGCCTTCGCAACACTGCGAATGCCTTCGGCAGTGAGAGCCAAGAACCTACAGATCCCATATACCGAGCTTGGCAGAGCTGGCAGCATGCATAGTCAAGGGGTGCAGCGTAGGGGCAGAGAGCAGCGAGAGTGCTTCGAGGCTGTTCTGCCTTCTGACGATGACTGGCCGCAGGACTACAGCATGGCCCGGGCCCCTGGACCTGGACTGTTAGCCTGTTGGCTCCTCAGAGCTGAGGCCGATGCACGGTACAACACGATCTACTGGTCTCTGTCTGATGACATCTCCAGTGAAGGCGATGCTCAGGCCAGGGGCTCAGAACGGTCCCATACTGTGAAGTTTGGTTCGGCCTGGGGCGGTGCTTGTTTCGCGGCCATATTGCCAGGGCGGAGTGATTGTGCGGGGTGCTCGGGTACTGGGGTACCGACAGCTGGGGTGCTGCTGTTGCGATGTGGTGGGGCAGTGTTCTAGCCTTGGTGGCCAAGCTTCGGTGCAGCGTTCCGTGTTAGGAGTTTGGCATCAAGGCCTGCACTACCGGCAGCCGCGGCACCTGCAGAATAAAACGGCAAGCAGCAGCAGGACCCCATAACACTGAAAGCAGCAACCGGCAAGGCCCCAAAAAGCAACAGCCACAACAACGGCAATTGTCCCAGCGGTTTTTGCCGTTGCAAGCACAGCAACTCTCCACAACTTCCTCAAACACCACCACTGGCGCCATCGCTGCTCCCTGGTCAATGTCCAAACACACGAATAGCGACTTGAAGAGCGAGACTTCAGCAAGAGAGGAAGAAGATCAACGACATTGAGCGGAACAGCAGCAGTTGGGAGCAACCCCTGTAGACATCTTTGCACTCGGTGCACCGTGCGTAGTTGGGATTCCTGCCACTTCTGCGGGAACCTGTGGGAGTCGGGCACATCCGCTGCTTTCCTCCGTCCAACAGCCACGGGGCTGCTTTTCATTGGTTCTTGTATGTTCTTGTTCTTTCGGTTTTGGTGCAAGTTTCTTCACCATGCCCTGCCCGGCGAGCCTTTCTTCGCTTGTGAGGTGGATCCGAGAACCGGTGAGATTATCAAAGCCGACATCCGCATGGGCAGCGGTCAGAAAACTCGGCTTCCTCATTTTGGCGAGAGGTGCAGCGGTGAAGTGTGACTTTCTTGTCTTGGTAAGGCTGGGTGTGGGCTTGGCTTTCTGAACTTGATCTCCTGGCGGCCAACACTACTCGGGAGGATCGCCTCGCTCTCTTGGGCCAAGGCCAGACTCTACCAGGGGGTGCTTAGCTCTCACGTGCCGCGACGTTTGCGCTGTTTTTGAGGTTGCGGAAGCCAAAACAGCGGAGCACAAACATGCTTTTTTTCATCGTTTATTGTCCCATAGCCGATAGCGTGCAGCCAATGCCCGTAGCGGATGCCTCAATGATTTGTCTCATTCCCTCGTGCATGTTCAGTCTTCATGCATCAATGGCAACAGACGGAGAAGGCTCGAGGGCAGAACGAGCCAGAAAGTCTCTCACGCATTCTCACGCCAACAAGGCCATTGTTGATAATGATTCGTACGAAAACGTCACGCATGGTAGAAATCAAGCGCAGTCGGGATGATCTCCTTTCGGGTGACCTGCCCAGGTCTCGGCCTCTCTCGGTATTTTCTCTGTGCAACCGTCGGCGACACGCGGTGCGACACGCGTTGGTGCAAAGGTTAGGTCTCTCACCCTTGCCTAGTCGGTGAACTGTTTTTGGTTTTATCTCGGTGTTCGTCGGAAACTTCGTGAGTCAAGGATGGCCAAAAAAGATACCACTTCAGAAGCTGCTGAGCTTCCGTTTGTGATGCTTTCCCTGCATTTACAACATTGCCATGCACAGCAACATCACGCCCTGCATCCATCTCGTTCGTTGCCTCGTGCTGAGCATGTCGGTCCAAGAAGCATAGAGGCAACGACATGCTGGATCAAATGTCGAAGCTGCTCCAGCATTGAATCTGGTCGCTTCAGTCTCTAACAGCCTGCGAGATGAAGCGGTTCTTTGGAGTGTGCAATGCCTTTGGTTGCTGCAATGCTCTACCCCTCTGATCTGAGTCATTGACGGAGTTTGCGACAGCGTCTTCATGAATGCCGTCTGCAGGTGTGGTGAGTGGGACGCAGCCGCTCAAGCGTTCAAGAAGGCAAAGATTTCTTTCCCGGCTTGGGTTCTGGTCGACGTAGCGTAACCCACTGAAGACACAACTGCCCGGCCGTGGTGTGGTAGCGTGGTGCCGTAGACCCGGGCCCCTCCCTGGTGACCTGGCAGGCCAGCGGGGCGGTCGAGGCGGCCGACAAGGTCCATGCCACTCAGAAAAACACAAACAGAGTTGGGACTCTCGCTCTTCGTTTTCTTGGGTCTGCCTGTCCGGCGAACCGGTCGTTCTAATCGCCGAGGCATGCACAAAAGTCGCGGCACACGAAGATCCCTCGCGAGGTTCCCGAGTCTGGCGAGACTTCCGAGGCTTGGCAAGTGTACAGGCGACAGGCGGCCGGTGACAATCTCTGAACAAGTCTGCGAGGGCCCCGTGCAGCTGCCACGACATGGTGTTCACGCGGGGCCGCTGCTGCTCTCTGCAGGGCAGCCGCTGACCACACCGCAACTCGAGGTGTAGCTGCTAGAAGTACTCCTTCGGGTTTGCTTGTTGGTGCCGGGTCATCCATTTCTGCATTTTGCAGTGTGGGCTGTGACACGCCAGCTTGTGTGGCAGGTCTTGATGGGAGAAGGCCTGAAGAGCGTGGTGATGCACGAAATGGGGCACATCCTTGGCTTGAGGCTAGCGGGCTGGTGCTTTGGGAGATGCTGAAACGAGGTTGCTGTCCGCTTTCAGGCACAACTTCAAGGGGAGCACCTCCATCGCTCAGAACTGCTTGGAGAATCGCAGCTGTGCCTCGCTGCACTGTAGGGGCCATTGGGGCCCGGGGGGGGTAAGTAAGCTTCGACCGCAGAAAAAAAGAGATCTGAAGGTAGTGCTTAGTACAAAGAACAAGAGGTTTGAGACGAGATGTCTCTGAATCGTCTTTCCTCCCTCAGCGAGGCACCGCCGTCCACGGGCTCTCCGCGAGTGCTTTGGTGCAAGTCCTGAGATTAGCCTGGACTTAAGGGAGCTGTAGAGTCGTAGTTGCGGAGCTTTGTGCCTCGCAGCATCCCCCCAAACCTGCAACATAAAGGCCCCATCCTCCAGGCATCATGGACTATTTGCCCATGAACTTGCCGGAGCCGGGGCGTGAGCCCAACTCCGTTCACATCTTCCCACCGACCATCGGCGCTTACGACTCCTTGGCTGCATTTCATCAAGCTCCGATAATCTCGCTGGAAATCGGAATCGCGCTGCTCCCAGACTCCAGACTGGCCTGGTTGCTGAAGCTTCGTCCCAAACTTTTGCACGTGCCACGCTGGCATCGACGACGATTTCAGACGACTGTGCAATTTGCAAGGGCTACAATTACTGGCTGCCGCTGTTTTCTCCAAACCTTGCAAAGCTTCTTAGGAGTCTTAGTAGGACAGTTGAGCCGGGTAACATGACCTCGAAGACGGCTCGTCGAATCTACTCGGCTGCGGCCACCCTTCTCAGGGCTGCTGTCTTTTCCTTCCAGCGATGCTACAAAAAACATGTGCGAGGTTAGGGGATTTTCCCGTGGCTGCAAGTGCAGAAGTGGGGTTGCTTGTTTCCAGCCAGTGGGGTCTATGATGAATCTCAGGACAAGCTCGCCATCCGCTATGGGTACTCCGAGCCTTCCGAATCGCCCACAGAGGCTTTCTATGGGCTGCCCAGAAGAAGCTAAAACAAAGCCATGCATGGCTCTGGCTCGAAACCTCCAGCCGTTTGTCCATCTCAGGCTCGCGGCGCTCTTGGAGGAAGCGAAGGCTTTCGATGTCTGCTACGATGCAGACGAGGAGTTGGGTGAGGATCCCTTCTGCATGACCGAAGACCTTGGCGAGGACCCAAGAAGCATCTACAATCGCTAAAAGTGGAGATCCGTTCACCGTCGTTGCCAGGACCCTGTGGCCTTCCACGAAAAGCGCTTGACTCGAATTGCACGAGTGCAGGGCGAGCTGCACAAGCGCTACGTGCAGGCTCCGCGACAAGTGTGCAAACCACAAAGGCAAATCAGCAGCTCTTTGAGACCGCTGCCTGTGAGATCCAGAGCAAACCTGAATGCTGATTACGACAGCACTGGCCCCACGACAGTTTGATACCTGGCCTGTCGCAGTGTCGTAACAGAAGCAGTTTGCTATGTGAAACGTTGCGAGGCTGATGGACCCTGGCGCAATTATGGCAACTCATTGGGCTCGCTGCTGAGGCTTGGCCGGGTGAGAAGCCAGCCGAGTTGGTTTTGCAGCTCTTATCCGTGTTTTGCATCGTCCTGCCAACTGAGTACCCGAAGCTAGCTTCTTCACTTCGTTTGTGCACTTGCCGAAGCAATCTGCACAATGTTGCACAGCAGCTTTTCCAATCAGAGCTGCCAGATTCAAGATCAGAAGAAGAGATCTGGATTGGTTGCCTTCCAGTTCTGAATCTGAATCAGCATTGACTGGCCTGTGCTCTCGAACGAGTGTAATGGATCCAGGCCAGGGGCTTATGTCGACAACTGCGTTCGAGTGCTGCTGCGCTAGCGAATGCTACCTCTGTCGACTTACAAGCGGCCCCAGAGTCTTGTCCCGCGTCTCATCCCGGGTGTGTGTTTGCGCCGGAGCTTTGCCTGACAGGGAAGCAGAGGTCGCCGGTCTCAGATGCTTCGCTGCACTTGTTTTTGAGCGGATTCGACCAGGCGTTTGGCTTGACTCCTCGGAGGCCTTATACCCTGGGTGGGCGGAATCCGGAACAGCTACGCCCACCGCGGTCCAGTCTGGAATGCATCAAAGGCCAGATTGAAGCTGCCTTCACCATGTGATGGTTGTTGCGGGCCTGTCAAAGAAACCTAGTGAGGCCCGCCGGCCGGTGCCTCTTCGGATGCAGCGTCGGGCACTGGAGGCTTGGACGTGCATCAAAACGTGCACGCCACTCGAAAGCTAGGAAAGAAGGAAGTGGAGTTGCTCGCCTTCCTTTCAAGCAAGCAGAGGGACTGCCCTCTCCTCACAAGACTTGACCAAGAACATTGTTCCCCTTGGTCAGTTGCAGGATGGGCTCCCCCTTTGCAAGTCCACTTGCAAGTTGGGCTGTGTCCACTTCAGTCGTGGGCTACGCTCTTTTTTAAGCAGTGATGCGTCCAGCTGTAGGTAGTCCAGATAGCTACTTTAAGCTTTGGATTGGAAGTAAACCAACACATCGGCAATCTTGAGCCGCATGCACCCTCGAGTCGAAACAAACAACTTCAAACCAACACTATTACGAACTCAAATCCCCCACTGCCATATTTCATGTGAGCAGCCAAGATTCCGGAAGTGCGAGTGCAGGGGTTGCCGGGGTTGCCCTTTTGTGCTGTCGCTCTGCCGGGCCTCGGTGAAGAAGAGCTCAGATGGGATTCTGGGACTGGGGCTTCAGACTTCGGTGATGCGAGTCTCGGAGAGTCGCGTCGGCACGGGATCGAGCAGAGGTAGAAGTGAGCCTTGCAAGCAAAGCGGTCTGCAGGCAGTGCTGAAACTGCTTCGACCCGATGCTGCTGGCCTCCTGCCGCCAGCAGAGGCCGGACAAGGGTGCCGGCTTTCAGCAAACACAGGGTCTCTTAGAGCCTCAAGAATCGAGAACGTGCCTTAGCCACGACAGTTTCTTGTCGGGGGCTTGGGTGTTTGAAACGTGTCGGGGATTAAGCGCGCCCTCTCAAGAATCTCCAAAGCCTCCTCTCTGTGATCCAAGGCGCTGCCGTTTGCAGTGACTGGAGAGGTGCGTCCTGTGCAGACCAAGAGCTGACAGCCCGTCGCAGCCCCTCGCAGTCTCGCATTCTTTTTCAGGAGGATTCCCTGAAAAGCCTGGACCTTGTACGACTCTCTGAGAAACTTGGCCGGAGTTCGAGAGTTGTTTTTCTTCGCTGCTCTACGCATCTATCTTTCCAGCTTCTTGCCCTTCCCACATCTGCTCGTCTACCCGTCTACGGACCTGCTTCCCTGTTTGTTTCTCTCCCGCCCGGCTATCGATCTTCCTGTCTTTCTCCCGATCTGTTCAAGTTCTTTCGCTGATCTGAGACTGAGGAACCTCATCAAGAAGCTGTTGGCAAAGCTGTTGTCGTCCAAGCGCTTGTTGCAGGTCCGGAAGCAGGAGCCGTCGAAAAGTAGTTTTGCAATCTGAGCGCCCTAAGCCCCAAAGCCTCAGCCAGGAGCTGCTCGTGGCTTCCGCGACCCCACAAAGCGCCGCTTTGCTGCAGAAACGGGGCAATCTGCTCGAGGTTGCTTCCTCTGCCTCTTGCCTTGAGAAAGGAGGAAGGCACACTGAACATTCTTGCATTCACTCAGTCAAATGCCACTGCAAAGCTCAAGCAAAGCGTCGGTGTTTGCCACGAGTCGGCGCGGTGCAGATGCCACACAGGTGTTGCCCGGTGGTATTTCAGTCGAGTATCGAAGCGGCTGTCGTGGCATTATTGCAACGTTCAATCTCTCCAACTCCGATACTGGAATGTTTCGATTGCTGGGTTTTGAACATGTCGTGTTTCCTCGCACCAAAAAGTGACCGAGACACAGTTGTGCGTGCCACCCAAATTCCAATGATGTCTGCTTTGGGGAACCAATGTTCACAGAGTTTTGACAACTCCATTCGCTGGATGAATTTTCGGGTTTGGGGTTTGCAGCTGGAGGCTCGTTGCGTCGTTTGTGTGGTTGAGCCTGTATTCATTTCGAGCCGGGCAGGTTTGCCGTTTGTCGTTTCCCACCGTAAGTCCAGATGTACATTCAGCTTGCCATCCCCTGGCCTTTTCGTGGTTGTGTATCTTTCTGGGGCTTTAGAGTTTGCCATTCTCGATTCCTGTCGGGTCTAGTCCTTGCTACTCCAAGCCCTGTTTCTGGTTTCGGGCTTGTCGCCATCTAGCCATTTTTGAGTTCTTGAATGGCAAAACGCGCGCCAAGTGGTGACCATCTACTGGTCAGCATTGCACGGTTCACACTGCTTTCGGTTTTCGGGTTTGGGATGCCCAATCACACGAAAAACGGAGAGTAACGAGAGAAGGAGGGAAGAGTCCTGCCATTCTCCTCCAGCAAAGGCATCTGACGGGGCTGATGCCCTGACTGTGGAGGAGTTCCTCACCAGGCGAGATAGGTTGTTGCCGAGCTCAGGGTCCTTCGCCTGACCTGGTCAGGATGAGCGATGGAATCTTGGGAGGTTTCCACTTGGACAGCCATCCAGAAGCTTCGGCCTCGCTGACAGCAGCGCCTGGGATGGTCTTATAGCGGTGTGCGTCTCTGAAGAACCCGCTAGCATGTTTTGTCTCAAAAACTCAGACCCGACTTTCTCTACGTTTGCCCCTCCCAGGAAATGACGCTTCAGCTGGAGTTTGTTCGGAGCATGACCGCGCTGTTCGAGAAGGCTGCGAGCCATGAGTCGAAGTTTGGTTGTCGTCATACTCGGATATAGAGCTCAACCAACTCCCGCTTCAAACGCCTGTTCAGTCATTTCCCATTAACAATTCTTGTCGTGAGATGCTCGTCATGAACCTTACAGGTGACGCCGTCCTCAAGATGCCATGCTACTAGTGCTGCTACTGCTACTGCTACCGCTACTTCTACTGCTGCTACTGCTGCTACTATTGCTCCTGCTGCTGCTACTGCTGCGCCTGCTGCGCCGCTGCTGCTCCTGCTCCCGCCCCCTGCTAGTCCTGCTCCTGCTTCTGCTGCTGCCGCTACTGCTTCTTCTACTACCTGTAGTACTTATTGCAACTACCGCGCCTATTACTACATCATGAAGCCGGTGCTCACATAGGCGTTTTTTTTGGTAGGACCGCGAATGCCGTTCCTCCCGCACAGATTTCGTGTTCGTGAAAGCTGTTGGTCGGTTCTATCTATACGCCTTTAGCCTTTAGCCTCACCATGGGTGTTGCCCGCATAGCGGAACACGTGACTGACTTCCTAAGCATGGAGCTGAATAATTTCTGCCGTTGCCCAAGCTGATGGACATTTTAGGGGTGGTTCGCTTCTTTCAGGGTGCCGTTTCCTCCAACATCTTTGGACTCGGTTGTCCCTTCTACTGCACCCCTCCTTCTCTCCCCTTACTGGCCCTTTGCTTCGTCGTGGGAGTGCTCACCGGGGTCGGCGGCTGTGTTTGGATTTCCTTTCGACTTGGACTTCTTTCACTTCCGGCCTTCCCTTGCCCTCCTCCTTCAGCTGCCCCTGTTGGACTTGGCAGGCTGCAAGCGTATGCAAGAAGGCTTTGACCAGCTGACTCAGGTCGGGATACAAGTTGGCAACTGCACCGTGACCGTCTCTGGGCCGCTCCCTGAGGTGCTGCCTTTGCTAAACCACTTGCAGGCCTTCGGGCCAGAGGCAGGTGTCTCCGGGCCTCAAACTTGCGAACCGTTGCCCGCCTCACCACCTGCAGCACGCACCTTGCCCGTGGCCCCTGGGCCCCCCTCAGGTTCCCTAGTGCCGGCTCGGGGACCCTAAGCCCCACCCAAGGTAGCGCGTCAGTCCCTGTTGCACAGGACCCCTTGCAGGGCTCCAAAGCCCAGGCACCGGCGGCCTGCTCCAGGTCCGACCTAGCTGCCTCTCTGCCACCTTGCCCCCGACAGTGGCTGGATCGTGCGGGAACCCTTACCGCTGCTGCAAACCTTGACGGGAGGGAGCGCATTCTTCGCGCGTGGCAAGCTGGAGCCTGGGCACGATTGGTGCTACAGGGCTTGATTGCATCTCCGGCTGCGTCCAAGCAGCTGAACATCCCCTCTCGGTATTACGCTGTTATCGGTGGGGAGAACACTCGCCCTGCTCTGTATCGGTCTTTCAAGGACTATAGCCGAGCCTTGGGCCCCATTGAGGCCTCACGTGCTGTGTCGCACGCCTTCCCCACCGAGCTCGAGACTCAGGTCTACTGTGCTGCTGCCCACGTGGAATGGCCACTACTGCCATTGGGGCCCCTGGCCTAGAGGAGGTCCTCCTTTACGAGCCCAGCCACCAGCTGTACCTCTACGAGCACCCTTCGGCCGATGGAGACGGCGTACAGGAGTGCATGGCCGTGGTTGTGATGAAAAGGGATCATGGGCTCCTGCTTGGTGTCCCTCGCGGTCTCCTCGCCGATGCCGAGGTCGCTGCAGGGCTGGCCGCTCCAATGGAGGAGCTGCTTGGTCCCTCTACTGTGGTTACCTGCGATGCCGCCTCAATGGTAGATGGGGCTTTGGTCAAGCACCCGGGCAGGTTGCTAACCATCACCCTGGTGGACGTCTCGGCCGAGGCCCCTTGTGCGACTTACACCCATGGAGCCGGACGAGCCGCCGGAATTGCTTATCACCTTCGACTCGGGCGCCCCCCGAGCGCCTGCCCGATCCGGGGTCTTTGGCTGCTGCGGCCCAGTCTTGGACTACAGACCCCTCGGCGTCCACTCTCGAGCGGGTCACCTTTTACAGTGCCGACGAGGCTCCCGCCGCAGCCGCCGCGGACCCAGCAAAGAAGGGCGGAGCGAAGCTCCACCTTTCCCGCGCCGACATGGAGGCATCTGCACCGAAACCTGGTATTGGCTCCGCCGAGCAAGCCCAAGAGGCCCTCAGTTGCAGGCCTGGCTTCCCAGCTGGAGACGTTGATGGGGGTGCTCGCTGCCTGACGGCCCGGCTGGATGGAATGGACCAGCGGCAGCAGGAGCTAAGCCACTTAGTGTCTACAGGGGCCGCGGCTCCTCTCCGACGTCCCTTGGGGGACCCCCTGAGTTCGACTGCAAAGGTGCCGCCTATGGCGAAGCTTGGCCCTCCACCTTTGGCCAGGCGGCCCCTCTCGCGAGCTGCTTGCGAAGCCGAGGAGGAAGCAAGGGAGGCAGAGGACTTGGAGGTGGACCCGGCTCCGCAAAACCCTCTGGCACAGGCCATGCTTGCACAGTCCCAGGCCCTCACCAGTCTTGTTCAGCAGTTGGCCACCGGAATTGCCGACCCGGTTTTGGACTTAGGCGCTGCTGGTTCGGTGGGCGTGCGTGGGGCGTCCCAGCGGGCCCCCCTTTCAAGACGAGCTAGCCCAAGGCAAAGGTGTCTTCTTTCGCCAGGTATTCGGATGGCCCCTTCTCAGGTCGTTGCTGGGTCGCCGGCGCGCATGCTGGAGCAAGGGCTCACTCTGAGCCGGTACTGGGAACGGTTCGGTGGGTGGTCAAATGCTCGCGACATGGCCTTGGTGGCCTACCAGGTGGGCCTCATCTTCGACGCCATGATGGCCGAACGCTACGAGCTGGCAAAGGACCACCTGGCCCTCCTGGCTGTCAGTCTAGAGCAGAGCTCCTTGGACGGCTCCCGCATGGACATAGGCTACCAGCTGACTTGTTCATGGCTCGCTCCAGCAACCACCCGCGAGGCCGAGCTTTTGCACCGCTGGCCTCCCAAAAGTGGATAACGGTGGTGCTCGCCTAATGTGAAGGAGCTGGACACTATTCAAACAAGGCGGGGGGACACTCATCGACCTCCTGCCCCGCGGCCTCAGGTGACGGACCTTCCAGAAAGCCCGGCCGCCCCCAGACCAAAGAAAAAGCGGCCCGGGGGCCCAGTGTCTCCTAGCTCGTGCCCTACGCCTGCAGCCGACACCGACCAGCTAGGGCCCAATGAGGCTCTGCAGGCCCAGGTTGCACAATCCATCAGCACCACGATTTCTTTTGCAGACTCCTCGGCTTCGCTCCCGCGCTGGCTCTTGAAGTCTAGGACACCTTTTGGGGCCTTCGTCGCCTCGACGTTTTCTTCACCCTGTGGCCGTCTGGGCAATGCCCCAGCTTCCGCGGTTCTTCCCCTCCTTCACATCATGGTCTGTGCCGTGAACTTTGTGTTTTGCCGTGGCTCGCGCCCTTCCCAGGAAGCACTTTGGAGAGCACCGGACACCCACCAGCGGAACTGCTACACCAGGCTGGGTGCTTTTATCACCGCGTGTGAATCCAGAGAAGATCGGTTCCCTCTGCCTCCCGGTCGCTCTGGTTTTGACTTGCTTGCACGTCTGCTCGAGCTTGAGAGCTTTGCTTCTTCAGTTGCTGGCCCTAGCTCGTATGCTGGCCCTGCCGGCCCTTCTCGCGAGGAGCCCCTGCATAGTGATGCCCCTCCTGTTGGCCGGTGCGTGGTGCCCAGTGTGCCTCCCTCGGAGGCTTTGCCTCAACTGCAGCCCTATCGGGCATTGGATGTGTCGCGCCTGCGCCTGCATGGCACCGGGGAGTGGCGACTTGAGTCTTTTCTGCAGGGCCCTTTGTGGCTCCCCTTCTTGGACCCACTTATCCTTCGGCATGGCTTTGAGGTTGCGTCTGATGACCTCCCCGACCTTGAGAAAGAGTCACGGGAGGAGTGCCTCCGCCTCGCCTTGCTATGGGATGCCAAGGGCCTCTTGGATCTTCGCCGACCTCTGCCTCAGCAGGATGCTTTTGCCCGGTCCTGTCGCATTTTCAACAGCTATAAGAATGAAGCCCTTGACCGCCAGATAGGCGACCGTCGGCCAGCCAACCGTTCTGAGTACCACCTCGCTGGCCCGTCAAAGTGGCTCCCGCAGGGCCACCTCATTGCCTCCTATGCTCTGGGGAGGTATCGGGAGAAGCTGTGCGGTTTCGCCTCCGACACAAAAAAAACTTCTACCACCAAATTTGTGCGACCAGCCAGCGCTCTGACTCGAACCGCCTGCCCTTCAGCTACCCTGCGGCCTGCTTTGCTGGCACCCGAGCGCTTCTTGCCCTCAGCTCTTCGTGCAAAGGTGGGCCTCGGTTCCCCAAACCCCTTCTTCACGGGATGGAAAAGCAGGGGCCACGACCTGCCAAGCCTCTGGACGAGGCCCTGCCCCTCGCGATAGCTGTGAGAGTGCGTCTTCAGACCGGAGCCGTGGTCTTGGTGAGCCTGCCCCTGGCGATGGCAGCTCACCTGCTCAGTTAGGGTTTAGGTCCTCGGGTTTTAGTTGGCAGGCCTCTGCTGAGGCCCCTGTTGCCAATCGCGATAGCTGCGAGAGTGCGTCTACCAACCGGAGCCGTGGCCCCTGGCCTTATAGGCTTGACAGAGACACCGAGGTGGTCCCTTCTTTTAAGTCCATGCTTCAGGGTGATCATCATGGGGTTGAATTCGCCCTTGAAGGCCACAGGCAACTGCTTCGCTCCTTCGGGGCCATCTCCCCACAATGTGAGCTGTTAGGTGGTGAGTCTCCCCCGCTGACAAGGCTGTGGCAGGCAGTTGTCATCGACGACCTTGTCAACATATCCGCTGTGCCTGCTTCTTCTGTTTCGCGTGCCGGGTCAGAAGGCCAAGCCATGCACGATTTGGCCCTCGAAGCATATACCTCAGAAGCTGTTGCCGGAGCCCCTGAGAAGGACGTTGTTGGGGAGCAGCTTTTCAAGGCCATTGGGGCCGAAGTCGACTCTCGAGACCCCCAGGTTGCCCGAGGCTGTGTTCCAGTTGGGGCTCCTTTGTCCCGCCGTGTGCCCCTGGCCGCCCTTAG